CGTCGCGCGCCACGGGGCGCGCGATAGAGAGGAAAGCAGCGGAAGCACGTGGGGCCCACAGGCCAAGAGCGTAACAGCTCTGATTCCATGTCAGAAGAGCAGGCACAAGGAGGAGCCATAGCTAGGGTTTACCTAGCTAGGCAAGAGAGAAATGAGGAAAGGAGGATGTTCACTAGCAAGCAGGAGGATACATATAGGAAACCATAAGGGGTCGTACTCACTACAGAGTACCCCACTGCAGGCTAGACAAACTACATTCTGACATCATTGACGGGACGTAAGGGCGGAGGAGGCTGACGTGGAAGGACGGGCTGACGTACCAGTCAGCAAAGAGGAGGAGGTGTGCTGTAACGGGAGTGACCATGTGGCTGATGCGAAATTGCCCGCATTATCTCGAGAGTAATTTGGATGCGATGGGCAGGCGGAGGTTCTGAGTGTCGAATAAATTTAGGTCGTCGGTTTGGGCGGTTGGCGTTGCGCTTAGCGATGATGTTCTATCTTTTTTAATGCGTCCGCTGCTCGGGTCCGGGCTGACTGTAAAATTTCAGTGGGATGGGGTTTTCGGGATTCGGTGTCTGTCGGATTTTGTCCCTAATTGGGGTAGAATGGTGACTGTTGGATGGTGGCGAATGTCGAGTTGTTATATGCGTAACTCGATGAGTGGCAGTTGCTACTCGCATGTTGCCGTGTCATCGCACGTGGCTCGTAATCAAAGCTCCACGTTCTGATTGGTGCGCTTAGTCTGTCCGTCGGTTTTGGGGTGGTATGATGAGATGTATTGAAGTCGGGTGCCGAACTGCTGCCACAGGTTCCTCCATAATTTGCTCGTGTCACAGTCGCTGATGATTGTTGTTGGTATCCCGTGCAAGCGAACGACGGTGGAGATGAAAAGCCGAGCTGTATCTTCGGATACGATTCATTTTTTTGTGCGCTGCAAAATGCAACATTTTTGTCAGCCGATCGACGACCACGAGGATCGCGTCGTTACCACTTGCCCCTGCCGGTAACCCTGTGATGAAGTCCATCGTTACCTGCTACCAAGCACGCTCTGGAGGTGGGATTGGTTGCAATTGTCCCACCGGCTTCTGTCGTGGCGGTTTCATGAGCTGGCAAGTGGGGCACTATGTCACGTGCCTATGTACGTCGGTCAACATCTCGAGCCAACAGTGTTTTTTCGACCCCAAAATGTCATAAGGTAATTCCGTCGTGTGCATCCTGTAGCAGTAATTCGCGCAGAAAGGAGTAGCCCGGTACCCAGATGCAACCTGTGCCGGCTTTTACGTAATACACTCCTCTTGCTGCTACGAATTGCCACCAGTGAAGGGCGGGCATGTTTGATAGCTGTGAGTAAATAGCCGTGCAAGCAGTGGGCTGGTCTAAGCGAGTAGTATGGCGTGTATTTAGGCGGTCGGGCGAGTTTGTGTGTCGGCGATGTTCGAGGTACCCTTTTTGTATGTGACTGTGTAGTGAAAGCTGGACTCCAAAAATTCCAACCAGCGAATATGTCTTGGGTCGATGTGAGGCTGTGCGCGAAGGTTCTTTAGTGATCGGTGTCAAACATAGTATATGTTTGTGCTTTGTAGGCTGTAGTGGGTTCATCCTTAGGGGGTACAATCTCTAGGGTTTCATACTTGTACTCCCAACTTTCCTAGTTCATCCATTCTTCTCATTCTTACTTTCTAACATGGTATTACGAGCCTAGGTCGTAACCTAGGACCGACTGTAAGGGCCCACCGTTTCCGCTAGTTGCGCCCGAGCGCGCCACGCCTAGTCGCACACTCGAGCGCCCTCTTCTTTTCTCTCCTGTCGCGCGCCCTAGCGTGCCCCTTGCGAACCGGCCCCGCCTAGCCCGCACGCCCTAGCGTGCCCCGTGCGATCGGCCCCGCCCACCTCGTACGCCCTAGCGTGCGACCCGCACAGCACCACGCGCGTCGCCTGCCCCGCGCGCCCTTGCGTGCCCCGTGCGGCCACCCGCGCTCGCTGCCCCGCGCGCCCTTGCGCGCCTCTTACGGACCGGCCCCGCCCCTTCTCGCGCGCCCTTGCGTGCCCCGTGCGACCGGCCCACACCTACCCGCGCGCCCTTGCGTGCCCCTCGCGTACCGGCCCCGCCCAGCTAGCCCGCCCTTGCGTGCCTCGTGCGACCAGGCCCCGCCCCACTCGCCCGCCCTTGCGTGCCCCGTGCGACCAGGCCCCGCCCTCGCTAGCCCGCCATTTCGTGCCCCGTGCGGACCGGCCCCGCTCTGCCCTGCACGCCCTCGCGTGCCCCACCTCGAGTAGCCGCCGCCTAGCCGAGCCGAGCCGCCCCACCGAACCGCGTCGCCCGGCCCGAGCCGCGCCGCCCTACCGAACCGCGTCGCCCGACCCGAGCCGCGCCGCCCTACCGAGCCGCGCCGCCCTAGCGAGCCGCGCCACTGCTGCTGTCACTGCTACTGACGCTACTGCTGTTACTGCTGCTACTACTGCTACTGCTCTTACTGCAACTATGGCTAGCCCTGCTGTGCTCGCTTTCGATACTGAGGGTCGCCCGCTGAAGTTTGACATCTGGCTAGATGACTTGCACCTGTTCCTCCAGCTCACTGCCAAGGAGGATATCTCGCTGTACGATCACGCACTAGGACTTGCTGCTGCCCCTGCTGCTACTGCTGACAGTACTGCCCGCTCACAGTGGCAGACTCGTGACGCCCACGCTCGCTTCGCTATTCGCAACTCCCTGCCGGTAGATGAGCGCGAGCACTTTGGCCAGCACAAAACTGCGCAGGGACTGTACACTGCTGTAGTTGCACGCTACTCCTCACCTGCCTCTGCTGCGCTAGGCCGTCTCTCGCTCCCCTACCTGTTCCCAGACCTGTCCGCTTTCTCCACAGTCGCTGACCTCATCACGCACCTCCGCACTAGTGAGGCCCGCTTCCGTGCCGCTATGCCCGCTGAGTTTCTTGCCACGCACCCCCCCCCGCTCTGGCTCACTCTCTACCACCTGGTCACCCGTCTCCCTGACTCTCTTCGTGCGGTCAGGGACCACTTCCTCGCTCGCTGCCCCACTGAGCTCACCGTTGATCTGCTCGAGAAGGAACTGCTTGCAGCTGAGACTAGCATAGTCGCTGTAGGTGCCTCTCGTGGCGACCCCCGCACCCCTTTCTTCGAAGGGTGTTCCCCTTCCCCCCTTCTCCCCTCTGTCGCCTCTGCTGCTGCTGTCGACCTAGTTGGTACTGAGCAGGTCGGGACTGCGTCCACTCCGAGTTGGCGCCGCAGCGGCAAGGGCAAAGGGGGCAAGAGAGGCGGAGGTGACGGCGGGGGAGGCGGTGGTGGGGGCGGTGGCGGCAGTGGGGGTGGTGGCGGGGCTGGAGGGGCTAGTGGCAGCGGTGGGGGTGGTGGCGGCAGCGGCGGAGGAGGTGGCCGGGGTGGGGGCGGTGGTGGGGGCGGCTGTGGACGCGGCGGCGGCAGGGGCGGTGGTGGTCGAGGTGGTGGCGGCGGAGGTGGTGGACGTGGAGGCGCTGGCGGTGGCCAGAGCCAACAGCAGACTCCGTCGTCCCAGGAGCTTCGTGAGTGGTACTCTCAGCACGGGGGGGGGGGGTGGCCTTAGCTGCACGTACGTCATCTGCACTGGTGACCGCACTGGCCCGACGTGTGGGAGGGCGCACACCGCGCAGCGCTGCTTCTCCCGCCTCGACGACGCTTGGCGCACTCAGTTCACTGCTGCCACTGAGCTGCCCCGCTGGGCTGATCTGATGAGGAAGAACATTGATATCTATGCTCTTGACTTTGATGCTATTCTCACTGCCATGTATGTGTTGTCTACTAGTGGAGAGGGTGCTCAGTACCTGCGTGTTCCGCCCGACCCGGGCATTCGGACCAGTGAGGCTGCCGCTCTAGGTGCTAGTACGTCTGTTGCCCTAGGTGCTGGTGAAGCTGCCGCTCCAGGTACTCGCGTGTCTGCTGCCCCAGGTGCTGGTGAGGCTGCTGCTCTAGGTGCTCGTGAGTCTGCGCCCCCTGGTACGGAGTCTACTGAGGCACTGCACACCTTCACACTGGACTCAGGTGCTTCTCGCTGTTTCTTTCGTGACCGCACTGCCCTTGAGCAGCTTGCTCGGCCAGTTGCTGTCTCCCTCGCTGACCCCTCTGGGGGTCCGGTCATTGCAACCTCCTCCACTGTCCTCCCTTGTCCTGCGGTTCCGTCGGGCACACTGTCAGGTCTCCACCTCCCCTCGTTCTCTACGAACTTGGTGGCGGGTTGTGCGCTCCAGGACGGGGGTGTCCACCAGTTCACCCCTGCCTACGAGCGCGTGACACACTGCACGTGTGCTCGGACAGGCCGTCACCTGGCTACCTTCACTCGGCAGCCGGGGTCGGACCTGTACACACTGACCACTGAGTCCCCTCAGGTAGCTGCGTCTGCGTCTGCGTCAGGTCAGCTGTCGGCCCCCTGCTCGTGTCGCTCTCTAGCGCACGAGACCGTCCTCTGGCACCACCGCCTTGGTCACCCGTCAGTGCAGCGCCTTCGTGCCATGCACAAACGGTACCTTGTCTCTGGTCTTCCCAGGGTTCTCCCTCCCCTCCCACCCTCGCCTGCTCCTCCCTGTCTTCCCTGTGTCGAGGGGCGGCAGCGCGCCGCTCCTCACTCCTCCTCGTTTCCCCCGACGACTGCTCCCTTGCAGACACTCCACATGGACGTGTGGGGCCCAGCCCGCGTCCGTGGACAGGGTCAGGAGAGGTACTTCTTGATAGTTGTTGACGACTACTCGCGCTACACCACGGTCTTCCCCTTGCGCACCAAGGGTGAAGTCCCTGATGTTTTGATCCCTTGGATCCGCGCTGCCCGTCTCCAGCTCAGCGAGAGGTTCCACTCGGATTTTCCTGTTCTGCGTCTGCACTCTGACAGAGGTGGGGAGTTTTCCTCTGACCTCTTGAGGGCCTTCTGTCAGGCGGAGGGCATTGAGCAGTCGTTCACGCTTCCGGCCTCTCCACAGCAGAATGGGGTTGCTGAGCGCCGCATTGGCTTGGTCATGGAGGTCGCTCGTACCTCCTTGATCCATGCGGCTGCCCCCCACTTTCTGTGGCCGTTTGCGGTCCGATACGCTGCGCATCAGCTCAACCTCTGGCCCCGTGTCTCCTTGCCCGAGACCTCGCCCACACTGCTGTGGACGGGGAAGGTTGGCGATGCGTCGCGTTTCCGGGTCTGGGGATCTCGAGCTTTTGTTCGCGATACGTCCGCGGACAAGCTCTCCTCCCGCGCTGTTCCTTGTGTCTTCCTTGGCTTTGTCCCAGACGCGTCTGGTTGGCAGTTTTACCATGCCACCTCGCGCCGTGTCCTGCCCTCTCAGGATGTCACTTTCGACGAGTCGGTCCCCTACTACCGCCTCTTCCCCTACCGCACTGCCCCGCTCCCCCCCCCGCCTCTCTTCCTCGCGCCAGGTGCTGCTGTGGTAGACCCCCTCCCCCCTCAGGGTGCCGCTCCCTCAGGTGTGTCCCAGGTAGACCCGGTTGAGCCCGTCGAGGTAGCTGTCGACTCTCGTCCTGCTAGAGGTGCTGGGCCTGGGGGTGCGGAGCCTGGGGGTGCGGAGTCTGGGGGTGCTGAGCCTGGGGGTGCGGAGCCTGCGGGTGCTGAGTCTGGGGGTGCTGAGCCTGGGAGTGCTACGTCTAAGGGTACTGAGCCAGAGGGTGCTGCGACTGAGCGTGCTACACCTGGAGGCGCTCTCTCCTCACAGCAGCTGCGTGAGTGGTACTTACAGTACTGCAGCCTCAGGAGAGGTGCTTCTGGAGCTAGGGGTGCTGCTGGAGCTGGTGCTCGTGGTTCCCCTCCTAGGCGGGAGCTGCCCTCTCCCCAGCGGCTCCGAGAGTGGTACGCTCGGCGCTGCAGTCTCCGGAGTGGCGCTACTAGTGTCGTGGACCCTGGAGCTGGAGCTGCTGCTGGTACTGGTGCTGCTGGTGCTGGAGCTACTGGAGGTGCTGCTGCTGCTGGCGGTGCTGCTGGCGCTGCTGGAGGTGCTGCTGGTGCTGGTGCTGCTGGAGCTGCTGGAGGTGCTGCTGCTGCTGGCGGTGCTGCTGGCGCTGCTGGAGGTGCTGCTGGTGCAGGTGCTGCTGGAGCTGCTGGAGGTGCTGCTGCTGCTGGTAGTGCTGCTGGCGCTGCTGAAGGTGCTGCTGGTGCAGGTGCTGCTGGAGCTGCTGGAGGCACTACTACTGCTGGCGGTGCTGCTGGAGCTGCTGGAGGTGCTGCTGGTGCTGCTCCTGCTGGAGGTGCTGCTGGTGCTGGTACTGCTAGAGCTGCTGGAGGTGCTGCTGGTGCTGGAGCTACTGGTGGTGCTGCTGGTGCTGGAGCTGCTGGAGCAGCTGGTCCTGGAGGTGCTCGTACTGGAGGTACTGGAGCTGCTGGGACTGGAGCTGCTGAGGGAGTTGGAGCTGGAGGTGCTGAGCGGCCGCGGTTTGGAGGACAGGGGGAGGTTCCAGGAAGCAGCCGCCTCGGAGCCGGCAGCTTCACCTGCCAGCAGCTTCTCCTCATATAGTCCCTCCTCCTCCCGACTGCCTCTCTAGTTCTGCCTCTTGCCTCTCTTTGCTGTTATTTGTGAACTTGTCACTGCTCTTGCCTACTGCCGCTTTACTCTGCTTGGTGTACCCATCCATGAGGTGTCGTTGCACAAACTCTTGCTGCAGGCAGTTATGGGGGAGTGTCAGAATATATTTGTATAACTGCCTGTAGTTGTAGTTTAGTGTAGCAATCATAAACTATTGTGTGCACCATTCTTGTTTCTTGCCTATTTGTATTGTTCGCTCCATAGTGAAGCCCCTCCTTCTTGCAACAACTTCCTCGACTCCCCTTGGCCTAGGCTACTAAGCCTAGGCCCTCACTTAAACCTATCCTCCACTAGTGCTACTATTGTGACAACTTCGACTCAAATCTGATAGTAACCGCCGCGCAAGTCAATTTCCACTAATCGCAGTTGGTCGATCAGTTCTTCGGTGCGGAGGATGGGATATAACGATTTTACTATAACCCTGTTCAGTGCGTGGTAATCTATGCACATGGGGAAACCTCAGTCTTTTTCGGTGTGAACAGTATCAGTGCGGCGAACGGCGAGGATCTCGGTCCGATGCAAAAAAATCTCGAGTAAGTAATCTAACAAGTTCCTGAGCTTTTCCAGCTCTGGATGCATCTGTCGAAACTGTCTATGTATGGTTGGCTGTGCTCCCGGTATCAATTATATTTTGTGGTCATGCGATCGATGAGGTGGCATTCCCTCGGGTAAATCGTCGGGGAATATGGACGGGAACCGTTTCAATAATTCGCCCAGTTCGGTCGGTATGGCTGCTAGCAGTTTATGAAAACCATTCAGCTTCTCGGCTTCTCCTATTTCCCTGATGTCGATAGCGTACACGTCAACTCCTGATGCGCCATCCTGTTTCATTATAAATGCGATGACTCAGGCGACTACCAGCGAGGTAGCGAGACTTAGTTACCTGTCGCCCAGTCGATTTGCGGGTTATACCGTCGCAACAAATCTCGTCCTAGTAAAATGTCGGTCCATCAAGTGTCGTTGCGAGCATCTCCTGTGTAAATCCGAAGTTACCCCCGCAACGAATCTTCACCATGTCCACCTTTTCCCTTATTGCCAGTGGTGTGCCATCGACCAATCGTGCGTCGATCTCAGGTAAACATCGGCTAAGTTTCAGTTGCAGGTTCCTTGCAGTTGCGGTATTAACTAATCTGTGGCTAGCCCATCCGTCAATGAAAAGCTTCACTGCTGTCCTCTGTATTTTCCCGCAAAACAGTACTGGGCAATATGTCGGTGTACCCTCCTTATTCAGTCGAGCCCGATCGATTGCGTGAATCGGTACAGTCACCCTTTGAGGGTCAATGGGGTCGGGCGAGCAGTGAGTCTCGTTAGTAGTGGGCCCGTACTATACTGACAGTTGGCGTTTCCCCGCCTCCCAAGCCCTCTTCCCTGCTCTGCTCCTCGGCGTTTTTGCTCCTCAGGGCACTCACTCTTCAATGGCCCGGCCTGTTGTACGCAATAGGCGTCTTCAAAACGGCGTGATAGTTGCATTCATCGCAACGGCATGTACCGTGGTGTGCTCGATCATTCCCCGAGTGTGTTGTCCGTAGTGATAGGACCCCGGCCTCGGTCGGCGTAGAGTTCAAACTTCTCGGCGAGCGCCATGATTTCGTTGAAGTTCGAGATCCCACGTAGGAGGATTCACTGCAAGATTTCCGGCTTCAAGCCAACGACGTAGCGATCCACTCGCTCCGCTCGTGCATGTAGCCGACCTGTTCGCATAGCGCGAGAAAACCGCGTGTGTTGTCTTAAACTGACCTGAGCGGTAGCCAAGTGCGCAGCTTCTGGTGTACTGAGATCGAAGCTGCGATCGGCTCGAAGCGCGCTCGTAGCCCTGCGCACCACGCGTTCTACATGCGGTATTGGGCGACTTTGCACAACGAAGTGCTCCAGGTAACAGCTGGCCCCGAGGGTCTTTCCCCTTGCGACAATGGCTCGTAGTCGCACGGCGACGTAACGATGACTCGCCACCAGTCCATGGCAGGCAAACGCAGTAAGGAAACGTCATACCGAATCTTTGCGGCGTCTGATGTCACGTAGTTCGCGTAAAAAAATGCGTTCATCTTGAACACCCACGATTGAACCGTCGTGTAAAACATATATGATGTAGCCTGTTTAGGCTGTAGTGGGGTAGACATTATGGGGTACAGCTTTTATAGGTTTTCATATTTGTACCCATCTCATTTCTAGTTCACACATTCCTCGTCCTTTTCTCACATGGTATAGAGCGGGTTCCCTAGTGGGACCGTTTTTTTTAGGGCCCACCACTTAAACTATTTTTTATTTCTGCCCTGCCCGGAGCGCGCATCGCGCTCTGCCCTACTGCCGCCGTAGCGGCCCTACCCTTTCGGCCCGTCGCGCCCTTAGCGGCCCGCCCTGCCGTCACGGCCCTTAGCGGCCCGCCCTGTCGCCCTTAGCGGCCCGCCCTGCCGCCCTTAACGGCCCGTCGCCGCCCTGCCGCGAACCGCCCTGTCGCCCTTAAGCGGCCCGCCCTGCCGCCCTTAGCGGCCCGTCGCCGCCCTTAGTGGCCCTTCGCGGCCCTTCGCGGCCCTTCGCGGCCCTTCGCGGCCCCACCCTGCCGTCGCGGCCCTGCCGCCCTGCCGTCGCGGCCCTGCCGCCCTGCCGGCACGGCCCTCCCTGAGGCCTTAGCGGCCCTGCCCTGCCTTCGCGGCCCTGCCGCCCTGCCGTCGCGGCCCTGCCTGGAGCCGTCGCGGCCCTGCCTGGAGCTGACGCGGCCCTGCCTGGCGCCATCGCGGCCCTGCCTGCCGCCGTTGCGGCCCTTCCTACGTCGCAGTCGCGGCCCTGCCTACCGCCGCTGTTGCGGCCCTGCCTAGAGCCGCCGTTGTCGCGGCCCTTCCTGCGCCCGCGTCGCCGCCCTGCACTGCCGCCTCGTTGCGGCTCTGCCCGAAGCGGCCCTGACCTGCCGGCGCGCCACGGCTCTGCCCTGCCAGTTGCAGCCCTACCCCGATCCGCCCTGGTAAGCGCACCGCCGCTCCCGCGCCGCCCTGCCGAGCCGCGCAGCCTTGCCGAGCCGCGCCGCCCTACCGAGCCGCGCCGCCCTGCCGAGTCGCGCTGCTCCTGCTGCTACTACTGCTAATGCTGTCATGGCTAGCCCTAATGTACTCACCTTCGATGCTGAGGGTCGAGCGGTCGATTTTGAGGTCTGGGTCGATGATCTGCAGCTGTTTCTGCAGTGCGATAGCAAGGACGGAGTCTCGCTTTTTGATCTCACTTCTGGCGCCTCTGCTGCACCTGCTGCTGATGCTGACAGTGCTGTTCGCTCATAGTGGACCACGCGCGATGCTGTTGCCCGCCTTGCTATTCGTAGTCACCTGCCGTCTGCTGAGCGCGCTCACTTTAGCCAGTACAAGACCGCTAGGACTCTGTACGACGCTGTTGTTGCGCGCTACTCCTCCCCTGCCACTGCTGCCCTTAGCCGCCTCATGCTGCCGTACCTGTTCCCTGACCTGGCCGCTTTTGCCACAGTCGCTGACCTCATTACGCACCTCCGCACTAGTGACACCCGCTACCGCGCTGCGCTTCCTGCCGAGTTCTGCGCCGCGAACCCCCCCCCCTATGTACATCACTCTCTACTACCTCGTCACCCGGCTCCCTGACTCCCTTCGCTCGGTCAAGGACCACTTCCTCTCCCTTTGCCCCACCACGCTCACCGTTGACCTCCTTGCAGCTGAGAAGAGTATAGTCGCTGTAGGAGCCTCTCGTGGTGACCCTCATGCCCCTTTCTTTGAGGGGTGCTCCCCCGTCCCTCTTTTGCCTTCTGTTGCCTCTGCTGCGGCTGTCGACCTCGTTGGCACCGAGTCGGTCGGCGCTGCGTCTGCTCCTAGTCGGAGGCGCCGCTACGGCAAGGGCAAGGGGGGCAAGGGGGGTGGAGGGGATGGCGGGGGCGGCGGTGGTGGCGGTGGAGGAGGCGGAGGGGGTGGGGGTGGAGGTGGGAGTGGTGGCGGGAGTGGGGGCTTCAGTGGCGGCGGTGGAGGTGGAGGCGGCGGAGGCAGCGGCAGTGGGGGTGGAGGTGGCGGCGGCGGCGGCGGCGGTGGGGGTGGCGGAGGCGGTGGTGCTGGTCGGGGTGGAGCTGTGCAGCGGGGAGGCTCTGGCGGTGGCCAGCGCCAGCAGCAGCAGCGCCCCCGTGACACCCCGTCGCCCCAGCAGCTTCGTGAGTGGTACGCTGGGCGTGGGAGGTCTGGGGGTGCTGGTCCCTGCACTTACGTTCTCCGCACCGGCGACCGCAGTGGAGAGACGTGCGGCGGCCCGCACGCTACGCTCCGCTGTTTCGGCCGCCTGACTGACGCCTGGCGTACACAGTTCCCTGACTCCACTGAGATCCCTCGTTGGGATTATCTGCTTAAGTCGGGGGTTGCTATCTTTGATCTTGATGATGATGCTATCCTTGCTGCTATGTATGCTATGTCTATTAGTGCTGAGGGTGACTGTTACCTGTGTGTTCCGCCCGACCCGGGCATTGAGGCTGCTGCTCATGGTGCTAGTGAGTCTGCTGCTCCAGGTGCTGGTGAGGCTGCTCTCTCAGGTACCGCGTCGGCTCAGGTCTTGCACACTTTCACCCTTGACACGGGTGCTTCCCGCTCCTTCTTTCGCGACTGCACCACACTCTCGCCGCTCAGTCGGCCGGTGGCAGTATCTCTGGCTGACCCCTCTGGGGGTCCGGTCCTTGCACACTCCTCCACGGTTCTGCCGTGTCCGGCAGTCTCGTCTGGCTCTTTGTCTGGTCTCCACCTCCCCTCGTTCTCCACAAACTTGGTGAGTGGAGCTGACCTTCAGGACGCGTGGGTTGACCAGTTCACTCCTGGAGGTCAGCGGGTGACCCACTGTTCGTGTACTCGGACGGGCCGGCACCTAGCCACGTTCGCTCGTCAGCCTGGGTCGAGCCTATACACCCTGACTACCGTGTCTCCTCCGGTTGCTGAGTCTGGTCAGGT